AAATTTAATATCAAAACATAAATTATATATACTATATCCATTTATTTCTAGTTTTATATGTTGTCTCATTTGAGCCTCTACTTATATTAATAATATAGAGCTGTGTGTTTTTTAGCAGGTTCCCTTATCTCAGTGCTCACCTGAGTGTCTGCCCGGATACAGGAGGAGTCTGGAGGGGAGTCACAAATGTTGTTTTAAATGTGTCCCTTGTCAAAAAGACGAATACATCAATGTTTCAGGTACAAGATATCTGTGCTTTTCTGTGGTGTATAATTTGTGTGTGTGTGTGTGGTTGTGTAATTGAATATGTTTTGTTGTTGTTTACAGTGAATCCATACAAATGTGTGCCTTGTGGTAAGACTGAAGTGGTCGCCTGAACGCAGTACCTCATGTAAACTTCGCTCTGTGGAGTTCATCCCGTTTGAAGATGCCGTTACCATAATGATCATAGGTGGAACAGTACTTTTTGTGGTCCTCTCTCTCCTGACTGCTGTGCTCTTTGGCCTGAACTACAACACTCCAGTGGTGAAATCTGCTGGTGGTCCCATGTGTTTTTCCTGATTTTAGGCTGCCTCAGTCTCTGCAGCATCAGTGTATTCTTCTACTTTGGTAAACCTACTACTGCTTCTTGTATTTTGAGATATTTACCATTTCTGCAGTTCTCCACTGCTTGCTTGGCCTGTTTTGTTGTGCGCTCCTTTCAAATCGTCTACATCTTTAAAATCGCCGCTCAGTATCCCATGCTGCACAGACTGTGGATCAAATATCATGGACAGTGGTTGGTGGTTATGGCCATATTTATGTTACAGGGAACTTTGCTTCTCATTGTGTACACTTCGGCACCTCCTCAACCTCAAAGTGACACAAACTGGTACAAAGACAAAATCATTCTTAGCTGTGGCATTGATCTTAAAGTATACAGTCCCTGTGTTACACTGCTCGTGCTGCTCTGCTTTCTTAGCTTCATCTTATCATACATGGGAAAAGACCTCCCCAAGAACTACAATGAAGCCAAGACCATCACATTTTGCCTGTGTCTGTTGATTCTGACTTGGATCCTGTACGCCACCATCTTTATTCTCTACCGAGGGAAGTACATTCAAACAGTAAGCGCATTAGCAATACTGTCGTCTCTGTACTCGTTCCTCTTGTGGTATTTCTGTCCAAAATGTTACATCATACGTTTTCAACCGGAGAAAAACACACAGCAGTACTTTCAGGGACTCTTTAAAACTTATATCAAAACACAAGAGTAATGAGTCGCAGTACTTTATTATCATATGCTGTCTGAGCTCTGTGAAAAGATTGAGGAAAGGGGCAGGGCCTATTACTACAATTTAAGATATGTAGATTTAGTTTAAGAGTGCACATTTTTCTGCCTTTGTACTTTCTACCTAGACCTGTCACAATAACAAAATTGGAAGTGTGAAGTATTGTTTAAGTAAATAGACAATAACTGATAATAGTGAAACTAATTCATGCCTCTGACAAAAAAATTATTCTAAATCTATAAAATGAATTACAGCTGGCAGCCACAGCATATTGTGTAACATATTGTATATTGCATTATGCACCAGCAGTGGTAAACTTTGGTAAGATTATAGATTTAAGATGAAAATAATGACACAATATTTATCACAATATAGAGCACAGAAGGTCTTTTATTTTTATTATGGAGTTCATAATTTTAATAGTGTATAGTACTTGTATTTGTAATTCTATTGAGTGCTAAATAAAATAATTAACTACACCAAGTTGCATTTAATAAGCTGTTAATCATTATTAAACTATTTTTAACACTTTGATCTTTTTATGAGCCTCCCTTTCTTTTTAAGGACTGCAGGTGGAAATGAGCTTCTTAAGTTAGAATCTGATACTGCATCTTTGCCTCTCAAAGATACTGCCATGTAATGCCTGATATTTTAAATGTGTGGTAAATTTAAAAATATATAGTTTCTTTCTTATTATTCTTTATCAAGTTCTTCACATGATAAAAAGTATGTTGCTTATACAGGAGTAAGGGAATTATGGGAAGTGTACCTTAAATACGTGGGTATTTAAGCAGCATGGCAAAAAAGTCACATGGTCCTATATTATGCTAAATTGACTCTTGTGAGCTTTAGGCCAGATTCGAATGTTGTTACCTCCTCAAAACCATACCTGGAGGGATTTAGTTTCATTCACACATGTTTGAGTAACTTATTATTAGTCTGTCTCCAAAGCTCAAAAAGCTCTGTTCCACCTTGTGGTATCATGTAGCAGTAGTTTTCATGTTAACAGCTACCATTTACCTTAAGTTCAGTAGAGGTCTGAAATCATCTAAAGGATTCTATTGAAGATGTGCAGAGTTTATAAACACAGTAGAGCATTTCAGGTATTACCACATGCCATCATAAGGTGGAACAGAGTGTTTTCTGTTTGAGAGAAGGATAGAAAAATGTGTAATATTGGCTCTTTAACTGACACTTTCCTAAACAAAAACATGTTTGTAGTACCAATTGTAATTGTTGCTGGATTAGCCTACTGTTTAAGGCATACAAGTTACATGAGCCTTTTCGTGTTCGTGTGGTTTTGGTGTCAGTCGTGCAGAATTTATTTGAAATAGGAAGTGTAGATAATACGGTTGAATTAGTCCATTTGTTTTCATTTGCATTATATTCACGTAGAGGAGGAGACATTTTATAGTCATTTACATATAGGTGTTGTGGCCAGTATTTGTCATGAGTCTTAACTTCATACTTATTACTTCTAACAACCTCTAGAGGGCGCAACATATTGCCATAGAATTTTATAGCCCATGTGTTAGAGCTGCTGGCACATCAGCTGGGGGTGTTCCACATTATCTTTATTTGGTGGGATGTTTACAAGTTATCATGATGACACCATAGCAAACACTGTTGTGATTGTCCAAAAACTCAAGAAACACACAAAATGAGCTTTCATGGTCCTGTGTAGGTGTTTGATTTTCAACCAAAAGGTAGCTTGTGACTGTAATTTTATGTGCAAGAGACTTGTTTAACAGCATGAATAATCTCACCTGTTGGAGTTCCAGCTAAATCAGCTATTTGTGATCAAATTGTGTTAAAATAAAGCACAGATTAAAGTCTAATAAAGCCTCAGACAGAGCAGAGCCTACAGTTAGCATCACACAAAAACAAAACACAATACATACACCACGCTCCCACCCATGGCTAAAATGACGTACTAAAATAAAAATGACTATTACTCCTTCCTTAGACACTACTGCAATTAAAAGTACCACTACCACTGTTACTCTGTGTTACTGAATAACCTGTGTGAAATGAATTAAACAATGGACTTATTCAGAAGCTGACCCATGTTATGCTCAAATGCGTCATGAAGTTTTGCATTCGCTACCATTATGTAAATTTTGTCTCCAAACATACATGATCTTGTCCATTTAAACATTTGTACCTCCTGTACATCCTGCATAAGAGTCTAACATGGAGCTGTATTTTGTGTTCTTATGTTTTGAGTGTGTTGTATTTGGAGGAGGCAGCATTAGGGCATCTGAATTTTACCAAGAAGGAGACTTTGTGATTGGGGGACTTTTTAATATCCATGAGGATGATCATCCCCAATACTATAATACACCAGAGGCCCTGCAGTGCTCTGGGTGAGTCAAAAGTCAATTTTTACAATTTATTTCTCTGGGTTTTAACCTCCTAAGACCCGAACTCTTGCATGGCATGTTTTATTGATTTCTCTTTGTTATTTGGGCTGACTGGGACCTGATGAGTGCAAAAACAAAGAATTATATTTTTATAATAGTTTTATATGTTTCCACTTATGATATATAAAATGCAAATTTTAACAATTTTGATGGAACACAATAAAGTCACAATTGAATAATGATTTGCAGAAACTATTTATTAAGTGCCTGAACAACCCAAAATGTGTTGGACATATACAGTCGTGGATAAAATTGTTGGTCCCCCTCTGGTAATGAAAGAAATATCAACCATTTTTACAAAAATAACTTGAAACTAAGAAAAGCAATAACAAATAAAAAATTCCTGAAAAATAACCAATGAAAATCAGACACTGTTTTTGAATTGTTGTTCAACTAAATTATTTAAAAAACAAACTAATGAAACTGGCCTGGACAAAAATGATGGTACCCCTAGAAAAGATTGTAAGTAACTGAACAATAGGGACATGTTAAACTTCGGTGTGTCCTTTAATTGGCATCACAGGTGTCTTCAAACTTGTCCTCAGTCAGTCTGCCTGTTTAAAGGGGGACATGTTGTCACTGTGCTGTTGTAGACATGATGGACACAACACTGAACATGGACCAGAAAAAGTGAAGAAGAGAACTGTGTCAGGAGACTAGAAAGAAAATGATAGACAATCAGGTTAAAGATAAAGACAATAAGACCGTCTCCAAGCAGCTTGATGTTCCTGTGATTACAGTTGCACATGTTCTTCAGAAGTTTAAGGTTCACAGGACTGAAGCCAACCTCCATGGATGCGGCCGCAAGAGGAAAATTTATGACAAATTGAAGAGATGGATCATACGAATGGAACCAAAGAGCCCAGAACAACCTCCAAACGAATTAAACGTGAACTCGAAGGGCAAGGTACATCAGTGTCAGATCGCACCATCCGTCACTGTTTGAGCTAAAGTGGACTTCATGTGAGGACACCACTGTTGAAAGTAAATCAGAAAAAAGTGAGACTGGAATTTGTCACAATGCATATTGACAAGCCACAAAGCTTCTGGGAGAATGTTCTTTGAACAGATGAGACAAAACTGGAGCTCTTTAGCAAGGCACATCAGCTCTATGTTCACAGACACAAAAATGAAGCACACTAAGAAAATAACACTGTCCCTACTGTGAAGCATGGAGGAGACTTGTTTATGTTCTGGGGCTGTTTTGCTGCATCTGGCACAGGGTGTCTTGAATATGTGCAAGATACAATGAAATCTCAAAACTATCAAGGTATTTTGGACCGAAATGTGTTGCCTAGTGTCAGAAAGCTTAATCTCGGTTGTAGGTCATGGGTCTTCCAACAGGATAATGACCCAAAACACACAGCCAAAAACACCCAAGAATGGCTAAGAACAAAACATTGGACTGTTCTGGAGTGTTCTTCTATATTTAAGGGAACCATCATTTTTGTCTAGGCCAGTTTCATTATTTTGTTTTTTCAAATCATTCTGTTGAATCACAGGTGAAAAGCAATGTTTGATTTTTGTTGGATAATTTTCTGTAATTTTTTATTTATTATTTCTTTTATCAGCTTCAAGTTATTTCAGTGATGAATGTTGATTTTTCTTTCATTGCCAGAGGGGTACCAACAATTTTATCCACGACTGTAAGTCTACATGTGTGGATGCCAGGTCCTAGGAGGCTACAGGTGTAGTACAGGTTACAACTGACAGTAGGAGCAGCAGCTCCCCTTCTGTCTATCTATCTATCTGTCTGTATTTTTTATTTATTTTTTTTTTTGTCGATGTGCATTCATTTATTTCTTTTTGAACATAACGTATTTTTATTTACATTTTGCTCATCAAATACAGTGTTTCTATGTCTGCACCTGCAGTTCAATTAGCAATTTATGGAATTTTGAGTGATATTTTTCAAGATTTAATGACCCTAAGCTACAATTGAGTAATAAATCAAAATGTATGTAAATGGATTCAAAATAAATAAATATTGAATAGAAAAAGCAAGATCACACAATTGCCATTTGGCCAAGTCCAAACCTTTTTAATACTGCATTTTGTTTTATTTTTATGTTTTTATCCCTCTTGTGATAGTTTTTGAATTATGTATATGTCTTATTTTGGTGTACATGAAAGAAAATGTTGTTGTTATATCTCAAAAAAAGTAATAGAACTTTTTTTTTTTCATTTTAGTTTTTTCATCTTGTTATTTTACTTTTACTTGAGTATTTTTTGCACCTATATCTGTACTTTTCCTTAAGTAACTCAATTGGGCAGTTATATAAATTATTAATAAGTCATATGTTCATTATCTTTATTTTTTCCAGTAAGAGATTTCTCAAGTCAAATTACCGGCGCTTCCAGCTGATGAGATTCACTATTGAACAGATCAATAACTCCAGTCTCCTCCTGCCCGGGGTCACTCTGGGCTATAATATCTTTGACCACTGCTCAGACACACAGAATATTCCAGGTGTTTTCCACATTTTCTCAGGAAAACACCCATACGCCCCTGGAGCACAGCACGCTACAATGTCTCCAAAGTCATCGCAGTGGTCGGAGCCTTCACGAGTCCTAAAACCAGAACTGTAGCTCCAATGTTTATGGCTCATCTGATTCCCATGGTAACTGAATTTACTTCTGTACATGTTTTAAGTGTTAAGCTTTGAAATTTGGATGTTTAAAGTGAAAAATATCCATCCAACAATCAATAAGATGTGTTATATATTGTTACCTCATCAAAAACATCCTGGTTTATTAGTCTGTCTCCATCTCCAAAGTTCAAAATGCTCTGCTCCACCTTCTGACGTCATCAAGTAGTTTTCAAGTTAACAGCTCCTTTCACCTTTACTGTTAGTTGTTTACCTTACCTTACTCAGTGTGGTACCTGAATGCGTTCATTGAACGATAGTTCATGAACGCATTCATGAATGTGAACTGAAACCACTGTAATAACAACAAACATTAGTAAACTACTCCTGAGCAAAACTAAAACATAAGTAATAAGTAATTTGTTAATAAGTTACTTGTTAACTCAGACTGATTGTAGAATTAAAATTTAAAATCGATTTCATGATGTAGATATTTGTGCAGTTTGAATGCTACAGATGTTCTCAGATTACATAACGAGCATTTAAACTGCACAAATCTCTCTATGCTAATATCGACATCAAGAAATCGATTTTTTTATTTTAATTGTAGAATCAGCCTGTGTTAATAAGTTACTTATGTTTTATTCATGACCATAACATTAGTTTTGTTCAGGAGTAGACACTAATGTTAGTCGTTGTTCGCCTTTACGTTTTTGCTTTTCTTACCTTGATAGTTGTGGTTAAATTCTTCATGGACAGAATATGTCCTTTGTTGACCTTGTTGGATGAAGATTTGGTGAATGGGCAGATTTATGAAGCGAGTGGAAAATACGCGAGACATTTCCACAGATATTTTGCCATAGAAAAGCATTAACGTAAGTGGCGTTTACCCGACATCGCTGCACTTCCGGCCATTGTAAAAAAGATCTATAGAGAAACTGCATGTGACGTCACAGCCTTGCCCTGATCCACTTCCTGCGGTCCCGCGAGCCAGACCGCCAATAGACTGCCATTGTAAAGTTAGCACATTTTCGAGTCATTCCTTTAATTTTCTCATTAAGACACACGCCAGAAAAGTGTTGTACACAGAGCTGTAATTAGCAGAGAGATAACGACACAGGGGTTCAGTTGTATCAGATCCCGGTTGAAGATGACAGATGAAACAAGTGAAGGTGCCATCAGAGTGCGAAATACCCATCCCTGAAATGCTGAGCAATACAGACTCAAATGTGAAAAAAGAAAACGACACCACAGTGAATGCCACAGACAGCGTAAACTGAATAGGCGTTATTCAACTGATTGAACTTATAAAATGAGCTGCATTTAGCCTAGTGTGAGAAATGCTACAGTCGGACTAGAGTCCTGACCCAGTGGGAGCAGCTCTGGTTCAGGCCAGGCTCAGAGGACCGGGAGCAGGGAGTAATGTTCGGTGCTTCGGCCTGAGAAGCGCTTTCCATGGGAAGAACCAAGTGTGCGGAGGATGGATCCCTCAAAACAACATATAGCCAACCAAACTGGATTCACACTTCTATCTGGATGCTGCACCACCTCGGAACCAGTCGCAGTATTGGAGTCCACAGCGCATTCTCACTTTCCCCACACAGAACCAGCGCGCGGACGACGGCACGGAACCGCTCGGATCTAATCCATTGCACACGGGTCTTGCTCGCCCCCCTCTGGAACCAGGACATGGAGAACGGAGCCTCCGGACCGATCTGACCAACGCACTCGGAGGACGGCAGAAGACCAAGGACCGGACCCCCTAATCCCGTCTTGAGAGGCTGTGCGCTACAGTGAGTGCTCCTATGTCTTTACAGCTGTTGGCTGCTGCTGTTACCCAAACTCAGTGCTTCTGCTCCGTGCTGATGTGCGGTGAGTTACGTACAAAGTTCTACATGCTGCTGTGGTGATAAGTTGGGATGAGGAGGATGAGGCCTGCGGTTTTAATGGGGAACATAAATACCTCTCACAATTGGAGGAACATCGGGAACATTGGGCTGATCCGTATGGGATGATGTCTGGACTTTTTTTTTTTTTTTTGAGGCTTTTTAGAGGGTGTGATGGGTTAATCGGGGTGGCACTCCCCATATTTCGCACACTGGCTGCCATAAAACTGGGAATTTATGACCCAACCACAGATAAGCCATGTCAGTAGAGCTACCATCGTCGGGACCGTCAATATGGCGGCCACAACAGAAACGGTCACGTGACTGCAGGTTCTCTATTACTGTCTGATGAACAAACTGGTGTCTGTGAACAGCATGTGCTTTTATTTAACTTTGTTCAATAGAGTGCCAAATTTCTTTAGTGTTCCAGGCGAAAACCTGGCTAAACACACCGTAAAGAGTCCTTAATAGGTAATGGAAAAACATTTAATCTCGCAAGATCACTAGCCACTTGCGTCGCATGCATCACTGAAACAAGACAAAACAAAGTAAAGCGCTCTACTGCGCATATCTCCAGCAGAAAGAGCCGCTGTCCTGTTTGGGATCATGTCAGTGTCTCGTAGGATTTCAGCAGATTTCAGGCGCTCCCATCATTTCTCATCATTTACACTCTCACCTGATTTAATGCATATGTGTCATTAAGTATCCCACTCACTAACTTAGCATGACTTATTTTATCACACGGCGATAAACTGTTTTAATGCCAACAACAGTGTTAGCTAGTGTTTAAATTTCATGTTAACCGCACAGACAACATCCGCTGTGTTCATAAACAAATAATTCATCTATACCATAGACCAGGCGTGTCAAACATATGGCCCGGGGGCTGGATCCGGCCCTCGAAGACCTTTAATCTGGCCCTCGGCTGATTACTACTAAAATATTAAAATTATATTTTCTATTAAAATATTGGTAATTTTCTGTACCATAGCAGCATCTGCCTCTGTGCGTGGCCCCTCCCACCAGAGCAGCACAAATGAAGAATTGCCTCTTTTCCAAACGCTCTTAAAGGTTGCATGGAGGATTTTTTTTTTGTTTCAAGTTGTCAATGATAGCATTATAGAGGTGCAGTAGCCTTGTAATTATGATGACCAAAAAAAAGAGAATAAAAATTCATCAACTCTGGACGTGGTGGGGCTAAACATTTGCCAATAGATAACGACACTGCCTCGTTATCTGTGAGCTGACAGGCTGTCAATCAAACTCCCTACGTTTCTAGCGTAACTGACTTGCCTGCGCGCCGCCGGTACATGGTTTACGTACGCCTGTCACGCAGTCCACAGACGCCAAGCCGCACAGACGCTGTTTACTCCACCAACGCAACAGTTCTTAGCGGCTTTTTTTTACCTATATCTTCCTCGCAGTTAGCACAAAGTTTGTTGCAATGGCAGACAAGAATCCAGGAGCAGTTAGCCGCAAAAGAAAGTCCGTTTTTGAGGTCGCTGAAAGAAGAAGACAAGGGGAAAAGCAGCGAAGCCAAACTAAGGTGATTCTTATAGATTCATTCCAGCGATGGCGCAACTGAAACAGACGCAGGGTCTAAAGACTGACGCATTGGTCGCCAAATTACTCCTGGACAGGTCACTTCTGCTTATTATGAAAACGTACTTTATTTCCAAGAGCTAGACAAACATTTTTCAGGACATGAAAGCGATATCCTATGTCTGAAAACGTAATTTTCAAGGCAAAGAAAGAGTCCGCTTGCTGCTGCATGTTGTAGCTAGTTCATTCGCACTGAATCTCCACGCAACCTTCTCTGCACCCCTTTCCTGCTCCTGTCCCCGCTGCCCGTTCCGCTCTTCCCCCTGCTCCTCACTTCTCCGGGCACGGAATCTCCGCGCACCCGCTCCCCTCTCCTCTCTCCTCTCCTCTCTCCCTGCTCCGCTCTTCTCCCTGCTCCTCACTTCTCGTCCGCGAACGAAATGTCCGCACACCCGCTCCCCCCGCTCCTCACTTCTCCGCCTTGCCTAACCAACACTGTAGTTAGTTGTTTACAAGTCATGTGCAGCGCACCGGCTGTAAACAAACCTGTTTCTGGCGTAAAGAGGAGGTGGGAGAAGGCGTTTCTACGTAGGGAGCTGTAGGGGAGGGGGGGTGGTTTCACGCATGCGCAACATTTGAAAAAGGACAAACAGTCGCTGGATTTCTCGTTCCTTGGAAAATCCTCTATACAACCTTTAAAGGACGATCGTTTTGACTGTTGACCGTGACACCCTCATCAGCAAAATTTGAAAAGTGGACACCAAGCACAGGATTTTCCAAGAAAAATTTACTTATTCGTATTTGCATACAAGTTCATGTTAAAACATTGTGTTGAAATTGCATTTTTCTTAAAGTTTCAGGTTGTTCATAATATTATAATATTTTGTAAAAGAAAGAGTTCATCAATTAAAAAAGATTTCTGTTATTGCTATTTTTGGGGTATGAGTTTTTTGATCCTTTGGGATCAAAGTAGGTTGGATACAGCTCCCAGAATCCCTTGCCATAGACTGTATGGTCTGTGCGGTAGGGGTGAAAGCTGCAGCTGCTAGTGTGGACTGAACAGACAGTTCAGTAGGGAAATACTGTTCCCTAAATGCTAATGTGAACCGTGGATGGATAAGGATGAAATCTAATACATAGTTTCATTGTCAAAACTGATCAAATAATTGCTGTCTGTCTTCATTTTAGGAACTATAAATGAACTATTAACTATAAACAATTCTGAACTTTGAATTAGTTCATATAGAAAATGAACTTTCCCAACACCTTTAATGAATGAAACAAAACACAAGAAAATAGTATAATATGGGCTCTTTATAATGTACTGAGTACTACCTGCCTCTGGTAATGTATGTGGACTGTACTGTACATTCATTCACCATTTGGTAACATTAAACAAAATGTCCTTGCTGCTCTTTTTCAGATCAGTTATGGAGCGTCCAGTTCTATTTTCTCAATGAAAGATGTATTCCCATCTTTTTTCCGCACTGTCCACCCCAATAAGGATGTGGTTGAAGTTTTAGTTCAGATGCTCCTGTACTTCAAATGGCATTGGGTGGCTTTCCTCAACATGGACAATGATTATGGCAACGACAGCCGCACTGTGTTCTTAAAGATGATTCAGGGCACCAGCATCTGCCTGGCCTACACCAAGAAACTGAATGAAAACACAAATTACAGAACTGTGTTTGAGCAGATAGAGAATCAAAAAATACAAGTCATCATAGTTTTTGCTACTGAATGGATAGTTGAAAATCTTATACCATCTGCTATACAAATGAATGTTACCAACAAGACATGGATAGCTGTGGATGCTTGGGCATTAAATAAAAACCTTCCCAAATTACCTGGAATCAAAAGTATCGGAACTGTCATCGGAATTGCAGAGCCTGTGATATCCATTCCTGGTTTTGATGAATTCATTAGATATTTGCAAATTGAAAATCAACCTGGGGAGTTTTGCAACCAATTTTGTAATTGTAGTGACTTGACTCCAGATGATATTTTGAGTGCAGACAACTCGTTCAATACCCCTGTGTATGTGGCAGTGTACGCCATAGCACACGCCCTACACAACATACTACAATGTGGAGACGACAAGTGCAACAAAAACATCACCGTCTATCCACATATGGTGAGTACAATCTGAGAAGGTTAAAAGTTTTATATTTCACAAAGTGTACTCTTACGAGCTTTAAGTCATGTTATAATGTTAATGTGGTCATCTCCTCAAAAACATACTCAGAGTTGAGTTTTGTTTAACATATGTGAGTAATCCTTTATTATTCTTATCTGTCTGCGTCTCCAAAGCTCAAAATGCTCTGTGTTATATCATGAAGTGGCACAGCAGTAGCTGTTCACTTCAAATATCAGCTGTTTGAAGTTAACAGCAATTCTAGTGAAGGTGTATGGGGTTTAAAAACACAGTGGAGCACTTCTCGTATAATCACATAACATCACAAGGTGGAACAGAGTGTTTTCTGTGTGAGAGAAGAACCCTGGGTATGTTTTTGATGAGGAAACAACATTATAACATCAATTAGAAATCAGCGTAACATGGGCCCTTTACCAGAACCAGCTGTAGGGATTGGGTATGTCAAAAAGATACAATTACTGTTATAACTACATTACTAAGCACTGTATTAGTATTAGGGGTGTCAAATTATCGCGTTAATTGTGATTAATTAATTACAGTCATATTTAGCGCGTTATGTTTTTTTAATCGCGTTAATCTCATTTTTAATCTCTAACTTTAGTGTTTCTGTATGTGAGTTTCTTTATTATAAAACCTGTTTTTATGTGTTGTTGGGACAACAACACACACACACACAAAACACATTTATAAATTTTTTTATTTCCGTAATTCCACTCATTGCTGGAAACTCACACAAAACGCGCGCAGTAACACCCGATGTAAACGTCATGTTAACGTTGGCGGCGTCAGTCGCACAATGGACGAGGTCGTAGAGCCAGTAGAACAGAGTCAGCAGTGCACAGGTAAAAACACATTCGTGTCTTGGAAATTATTCTCCCGACGTGAAATATAAAAGAAAATAACAAATATAATATCGCCTGAAAACAACCTGCATAGGCTCATGATGTCTGCACTACTGTCCTATAGTGACCTGCCACATGAGGGGACACACACACAAACACACACAAACAAACACACACCTTCATCATCGTCATTACCCTGAGAACGCGCGGACCACGTTTCCTTCCGTAGTTACTGCGCGGACATCGCTGTCCTCCCGTGAGCCGCGTGTGGATCGTGTTTTCTCGCGTACGCGGCGTAAACCGAGCTTCCTCCTGTGCGCCTCTAAACCAGAACTAACACCAAGACTAAAACCAGGTCTAAACCAGGACTAAACCAGGACTAAACCAGGACTAAACCAGGACTAAAACCAGAACTAAAACCAGGTCTAAACCAGGTCTAAACCAGGTCTAAACCAGAACTAAAACCAGAACTAAAACCAGAACTAAAACCAGAACTAAAACCAGGACTAACACCAGGACTAACACCAGGACTAAAACCAGGATTAATCCATTCCAGGACTAAACCAGGTCTAAACCAGGACTAAAACCAGTGATCTCATATATAAAGCATTTCTCTATCAATAATATTTTTAATATGGTTAAGGAAAGACTGGACTTTTTATTGTCTTTAAGAAGACAAAAGTTATTATGTTCAGATTTCCTCGTCTTTACTACTTTACAACAAACAGTTTCTTATTCATGGAGACTTGGGCTCAACAGCCAATTTGGAGAGATTTGTTAAACAATAAATGACTTTATAAAGTCACTTTTTAAAATCTATATTAGTCTTCTGATCTGCCACAATAATGTAATAATGAATTTAAATGAAAATACCTCAAATTGAAGGCTTTTCTCAGCAATTTTTGGTGAGATTAAAATGTGATTAATTAGATTAATTAATTACAGATCATAATTAATTAATCTCTGAATTTTTTTAATCGCATGACAGCACTAATTAGTATATTATTTTATGTAGTATTTACTCAAACAGTAAGTTGGCACTGGTTGTATCTTTGAGGTTCATGTGTTTTCCTGTCAGGTCCTGTCTGAGCTGAAGAGGTCAAAGTTCACTCTCCTGAACCACACTATTGAGTTTGACCAAAATGGTGACCCGACTTTTGGAGACTTGGACCTCATCACCTGGAACAGCAGTGGAGCAGCAGAGACAGTGGGACTCTACACCTTTCAGTCTGAGCCCCGTTTTTCCATCAATCAATCCAAAATACAATGGCACACCAATGGACAAGTATGTTTGTACAGGTCTACCTCCTCACTCCCTAAACCCCAGCTCCTACAGCCAGTCACGAACCAGTGCTAGTGCAGCCTCTGCAGCTCAGGGAGGGAATTCTGGAGGATCTGAGCTTTCATGTGAGGCACTGTTGCAGTGATTCCTGACTGGCTGCAGGTGCTAGGGTTTAGGTAGTGAGGTTCAGATCAGAGAGAGTATGAAATAATTAGCCACAGAATTGTTATCAGTAAAAACTTTTGATGATTTGATATCATCATTTTAAAATTTAAAATCAAAACATAAATTATATATACTATATTAGTCCATTTATTTCTAGTTTTATATGTTGTCTCATTGAGCCTCTACTTATATTAATAATATAGAGTTGTGTGGGGTTTTTTTTTTTTTTTTTTTTTAGCAGGTTCCCTTATCTCAGTGCTCACCTGAGTGTCTGCCCGGATACAGGAGGAGTCTGGAGGGGAGTCACAAATGTTGTTTTAAATGTGTCCCTTGTCAAAAAGACGAATACATCAATGTTTCAGGTACAAGATATCTGTGCTTTTCTGTGGTGTATAATTGTGTGTGTGTGTGTGGTTGTGTAATTGAATATGTTTTGTTGTTGTTTACAGTGAATCCATACAAATGTGTGCCTTGTGGTAAGACTGAGTGGTCGCCTGAACGCAGTACCTCATGTAAACTTCGCTCTGTGGAGTTCATCCCGTTTGAAGATGCCGTTACCATAATGATCATAGGTGGAACAGTACTTTTTGTGGTCCTCTCTCTCCTGACTGCTGTGCTCTTTGGCCTGAACTACAACACTCCAGTGGTGAAATCTGCTGGTGGTCCCATGTGTTTCCTGATTTTAGGCTGCCTCAGTCTCTGCAGCATCAGTGTATTCTTCTACTTTGGTAAACCTACTACTGCTTCTTGTATTTTGAGATATTTACCATTTCTGCAGTTCTCCACTGCTTGCTTGGCCTGTTTTGTTGTGCGCTCCTTTCAAATCGTCTACATCTTTAAAATCGCCGCTCAGTATCCCATGCTGCACAGACTGTGGATCAAATATCATGGACAGTGGTTGGTGGTTATGGCCATATTTATGTTACAGGGAACTTTGCTTCTCATTGTGTACACTTCGGCACCTCCTCAACCTCAAAGTGATACAAACTGGTACAAAGACAAAATCATTCTTAGCTGTGGCATTGATCTTAAAGTATACAGTCCCTGTGTTACACTGCTCGTGCTGCTCTGCTTTCTTAGCTTCATCGTATCATACATGGGAAAAGACCTCCCCAAGAACTACAATGAAGCCAAGACCATCACATTTTGCCTGTGTCTGTTGATTCTCACTTGGATCCTGTACTCCACCATCTTTATTCTCTACCGAGGGAAGTACATTCAAACAGTAAGCGCATTAGCAATACTGTCGTCTCTGTACTCGTTCCTCTTGTGGTATTTCTGTCCAAAATGTTACATCATACGTTTTCAACCGGAGAAAAACACACAGCAGTACTTTCAGGGGCTCATTAAAACTTATATCAAAACACAAGAGTAATGAGTCGCAGTACTTTATTATCATATGCTGTCTGAGCCCTGTGAAAAGATTGAGGAAAGGGGCAGGGCTAATTTCTACAATTTAAGATATGTAGGTTTACTTTAAGAGTGCAAATTTTTCTGCCTTTCTACCTTCTACCTAGACCTGTCACAATAACAAAAAAAACTAAGTAGACAATAACTGATAATACTGAAACTAATTCATGCCTATGACACAGTAACTCAAAAGCAAATTTAAGCCACAAAAAAATATTTTAAATCTACAATATGAATTCTGTTCTGATTACTGCTGGCACCCACAGCACATTGTGTAACATACTGTATATTGCATTAAGCACCGGCTTAGTAGTAAAGATATATTAAGATTATAGATTTAAGATGAAAGTAATGACACAATATTTATCACAATATAGAGCACAGAAGGATTATTTCATATGATTAAAACTGTTTTATATGTATATATGTGTGTGTGTGTTTGTGTATATATATATATAACTGTTTTAACCATATGAAATAATCCTTCTGTGCTCTATATTGTGATAAATATTGTGTCATTATATATATATATATATATATATATATATATATATATATATATATATATATATATATATATATATATATATATATATATATATATATATATTGTCATGTCTTTGGGATAAAAGACATCATTTCATAAGGTTCATATTTCATAAGTTAATAAGTCAGTTAAAAAGTAATAAATAAGTTAATTCATTGGTAATTAAATACGTTTATTTCTTTGTTGCCAAACTGTTAAAAATATTTGGGTAAGGTTGTCAGAGTGGGACATCTTCACCATTAAGGATCGTTTTGTTTTTCGTGCAGAGTGAGCGCTCTTATGTTACATATGATCTTTGACGTTTTTCTCCGCACAAATGGAGCAGTTCCACGGCAGAAGTCCGTATAACTTTCTTGTACACGCTGATTTTGTTTCTAACGTTTGAACCTTGGCAAATTTTCGTCTTGTAAGTATTTGAGAGTTCACAAGCACTTGTTTGGGGCTGTGTGTGTGTTTTCTTTCTTTTCATATGAATATTGGAACTTGTTGCTAACTACTGCAGTAATACACATGTATAAGCTAGCTACTTATATTTGTACATCAAACGTGCTGTGTAGTTGGTAATGTTCATTTCTTTTTCTGTATGTTTCAGTTACTATATTAATGTATCACCACATGCAAGAGACCTCCATAAAACAAGAAAAGTACGCCTTGTGTACGGAGCTTTCTTTATTAGTTCGCTGGCTGTCTAGCTTCACCCAGTCACGTGTCGTGAGGACAGCACATATATATATATATATATATATACACAAAATTGTCTTCTATTTTAATTATGGAGTCCATAATTTTACCAGTGTATAGTACTTGTATTTGTTATTCTATTGAGTGCTAAATAAAATAATTAACTACACTAAGTTTTGTTTCATTCACACATGTTTGAGTAACTTATTATTAGTCTGTCTGCATCTCCAAAGCTCAAAAAGCTCTGTTCCAACTTGTGATGTCATGTCATGTAGCAGTAAGTGTAGTAAAAAAACATCAGGGAAACAGAGGTACCTCCACCTGCAAAAGGTAGCGATGTTCCCTGTTAACACCGCGGGCTGTCCTCATCTCAAGTTATTACCATAACTCATAAAACAGCAGCATGTAGCCTATAACTTTGTACGCAACGCACCGCACATCATCCCAGAGCAGAAGCACTGTTTGGTTTACTGTACAGCAGCAGCCGACAACAGTAAAGACTTGGGAGCACTCACCTTAGCGCACAGCCCCTCAGGACGGGATTGGGGGTCCGGTCCTTGGTCTTGTGCCAAATGTGTTGGTCAGATAGGTCCGGAGGCTCTGTCCTCCATGTCCTGGTTCTAGACGAGGGCGATTAAGACCAGTGCACTATGGTCTGGGTCCAAGCGGTTCCGTGCTGTCCTCAGCGCACTGGTTCCATGCAGGGAAATCAAGGATGCGCTGTGAATTACAGGTCTGGGCGGACTGCTCCTGTCCTCTGTGCTCGAGAACTTCGGCTGGTTCCAAGCTGGTGCAAAGCAGTTCTGAACTGGGCCTCCCCAGGGCCTCCTTCCGGTGGGACATGCCTGGAACATCTCCCGAGGGAGGTGCCCAAGAGGCATCTGGTACAGATGCCCGAGCCACCTCAGCTATCTCATCTCGACTTGGAAGAGCAGCGGCTCTACTCCGAGCTCCTCCTGTGTGACGGAGTTCCTCACCCTATCTCCAACTGAGTGCCCAGCCACCCTGCTGAGGAAATTTATTTCGAGTGCTTGTATCTGCGATGTCGTCCTTTCAGTCATTACCCAGAGCTCATGGCCATAGGTGAGGGTAGGAATGAAGATTGACCGGTAAATCAAGAGCTTTGCCTTTTGGCTCAGCTCCCTCTTCACCATAACGGTCCAATACAGTAACTGCATTATTGCAGATGCTGCACCGAGTAATAATGATATACATATTACAAATAGAAATACATTTATCATTAACGCACACAGTACATGTCCAACACAACGCAATCGAAACAACCGCTCAACATAACACTGGGCAGGACAAGGCCAAACATGCCCCTCAAAGTGGACTGAACCATTATAGCGACCACTAGGGAGAACATGGAACAGTCCAAATGGCGATTACCACAGGAGCTTTTATACATAGGTGGCCAGTGCGTGTCATGATATTGCATCTTAACTTCATACTTGTTACTTCTAACAGCCTCTAGAGCACAGGTGTCAAACATGTGGCCCGGGGGCCAGATCCGGCCCTCCAAGACCTTTAATCTGGCCCTCGGCTGATTTTCTACTAAAATATTTTTATTCTATTTTTTATTAAAATCTTGTTAATTTTCTGTGGTGTTTATCACAGCAGCGTCTCCAGCGTCTCTGTACGTGGCCCCTCCCACCAGAGCAGCACAAATGAAGACTTGTTTCTTTCCAAACGCTCTTAAAGGACGATCGTTTTGACTGTTGACCGTGACACCCTCATCAGAAAAATGACAAAAATGAGAAAAGTGGAGCCGAGTGCAGGATTTTACAACAAAAATTGACTTATTCCTATTTCTACAAGTTAATTTTAAACAAGTTCATGTTAAAACATTGTGTTGAAATTGTATTTTTTTTAAGTTTCAGGTTGTTCATAATATTATAATATTTTGTAAAAGAAAGAGTTCATCAATTAAAAAAGACTTCTGTAGTAGATTTGTGTTTCTCTACACAAATATTTGATCTTATTGTTATTTTTGGGGTTTATATGACATGAGTTTTCTGATCCGCCCCTTTGGGATCAAAGTCAGTTGGATACGGCCCCCGGACCAATATGAGTTTGACACCCCTGCTCTAAAGGGTGCAACATATTACTATAAAACTTTATAGCCCATATGTTGGAGCTATTGGCATTTCAGCTGGGGGTGTTCCACTTTATCTTTAAGGACAGTGTTTTACTACTTTTACTTTGTAAAGTTCCACCACTGCCACTAGAGTTGCAAAAATGCAACTACAACCCCTTTTTAAAATGAAAAACAAATAATAATTGTTCAATGTACAGTGAATCATTTGAAGGGTGAGTTATAGACCTGCAATTCATCCGAAGGCATGCTTCAGGGCCTACAACCAATTAAGACGCATGCAGTGCGTAACTTGCATAACTGGCAAACTAGCACTTGAATATGAATGCACATTACCAGAATGTAGAACTCCACTGACCATTGCAAGGTAAAGACATAACATTATCAATATAATGTGGTACAAGGCTTAAGGTAAAGTAGGCCCAAGCACACCTTTAGCACAACAAAGAACAGATAAAGTACAATGTAACAACTCACTCTCAATTACACACATTAAACAGCAAACACTTGCATAAGATGCACAAAATGCACACAGAGGACAGCTTATACTCAAAGACAGGTAATAATGGTCTGCGTTACTAAAACACTGCTGCTTGCAACGAATCCTCTGACAGACTGACAACTTGCTACTGGATGAAGACTTCAAGGCATCTTCTGATTGGACGAGAGTCACTCGGATAAGCAGAAAAAAAAATGGATAGATGGATGGACTTATTCAGAAGCCAGCCCATATTATGCTCAAATGTGTGATGAAGTTTTGCATTGGCTACCTTTATGTAAATTTTTCCTTTCAAACATACATAAAAACGATCCTGTCCATTTAAACATTTGTGCCTCCTGTACATCCTGCATAAGAGTCTAACATGGAGCTGTATTTTGTGTTCTTGTGTTTTGAGTGTGTTGTATTTGGAGGAGGCAGCATTAGGGCATCTGAATTTTACCAAGAAGGAGATTTTGTGATTGGAGGACTTTTTAATATCCATGGGGACGATCATCCTCAATACTATAATATACCAGAGGCCCTGCAGTGCTCTGGGTGAGTGAAAACTTCAATTCTTACAATATATTTCACTGGATTTCAAAGGTGTAGTACAAGATGTAGTACAGACAGTAGGAGCAGCAGCCACCCCTTCTATCCATCTATCTATCTATCTATATTTTTTGTCCATGTGCATTCATTTACTTCTTTTTTAACATAACATGCATTATTATTTACATTTTGCTCATCAAATACAGTGTTTATTCTATGTCTTTGAGGGCCATGCTATCTGCATATTGCTTTTCTGGGTGAGAAATGGCACTTTTTGATCCAAATATTAAAGTCAATATAAATAATTATAAAAAAATAAAAGTCACGCTTGTGATGCAGTATGTGTAATTGTTTTGAATCACATTTAATCTCTAAATACAATTTCTACATTATACCATCTGCAGTTCTTGTTGTGATTTATGCCATTTTGAGTGACATTTTTCAAGACTTAATGACCCTAAGCTACAACTGAGTAATAAATCAAAATGTATAAAAAAAAAAAAAAAAGATTGAATAGAAAAATCAAGATCACACAATTGCCATTTGGCCAAGTCCAAACCTATTTTATTTTATTTGTATATTTTTATCCCCTTGTGCGGTTTTGTTTTGGTGTAAATCTCAAAATATGTCCAAAGTAGTAGTAGAAGTTTTTTTTTTTTTTTTTTTTTTTTTTCATTTTAGTTTTTCATCTTGTCATTTTACTTTTACTTGAGTATTTTTTGCACCTATATCTGTACTTTTCCTTAAGTAACTCAATTGGGCAGTTTTATTACTTATTAATAAGTGATTTGTTCATTATTTTCTGTTTTGTTTTTTCCAGTAAGAAATTTTACTTGTCGAGTTACCGGCGCTTCCAGATGATGAGATTCACTATTGAACAGATCAATAACTCCAGTCTCCTCCTGCCCGGGGTCACTCTGGGCTATAATATCTTTGACCACTGCTCAGACACACAGAA